AAACTTACCAGCGAAAGCACGGCAAGGGTGTGGTAAAGGCATAGTCCCTTGTCCACTCTCCCAGCCAGATCGAACTACTTGAAGCCGCCGTTCCTTGCTTTTCGCCACCACTACCTCCACTGACTACACAGACCATGAGCACGCCCAGGAAGTGGCTATGGAGCAGCGGCACCAAGGGTCCTACACACATCGCCATTGCTCTCAAGCAGGCTCTTGACGTGTTCAATGTTAGCGGCGTCGCCGGCAGTCCCCCTGTGCCAGCCTTGCAGATTGATGTCAGCGGTCTCTCGGCGGTGCTGAGCATGGTCCGTGTCATGAATATTACATAGTCCAGATGGTTCTCCCGGATTCCACAGTATTCTTTTACTTCATCAGGGAAACTGAACATTGCTGTGGACTACTACAGAGTCTACGTACAGAGTGTAGTGTGATAGCCTAGTCCCTGCCTCATAGTTGTTCGCACTTCAGTCAATGAGCGCCGTACAATTTTGAAGTGGTGCGTACTTCAGTTAGACGCCTTCGTACTTCTGCGGCACCTGCTGCGTACACCACGATAGCGATTCCGAACATCTCAAGTAGCACACTGTACATATGGTATACATGACAGAATGATATTGGTAAAGGCTACGGTAACAGTGAGGCACTATAGTGGTGCTACTAAAAGTCATCGTCGTGCCGTGTACCAAACGTTCGGGTGGCGAGAGCGCGTCGCATGCGTTCACGGGTCTCGTCAGAAGCCTTCTCTGTCTTCTGAGTTGTTGATTGTATGGTGATATTGCCATATCGTCTGTAGCCGTGGAACGTCACATTGATACCATGTTGCGTAAGCAAGAATAGGACCACTTACAAGACTTGCTGGTACATCTCATGCCGAACATGCCTCACCGCCTCGGCATCGAGAGCCTCCCAGTCCTCGATCAGCCATGAGAGATGGCTCCGGTATTTGGCGCGATACTCGCTTGTGCGGAACTGGTGTGCCTGGTCTAACTTTCCCGCAGACCAAGAATCGAGACCATACTCTGCCTACATGCGGTTTGGTCTGAGCGAGTCGCGTGGCACGAGACGAAAAGAAGCTTACGCATGTGAGTAAAAATGCAAGTGTGGGAATGGGCATCGGGTCGAAGGCGGTGTGAAACTCGGGGCCTGTGTCGCGCGCATTGATGAAGAGCTGCTTCTGCAGCGCATGCATGAGCATCGGAAGTTCAGCATAGATCTCCGGTTCAGCTGCGTCGAAGTCCTGTGGCCTAGATCAGTCACGACTAAACCAAGTCACTGTACCATACGCACCTTATACCCAAAGCGCTTTGGTGTACCGGACAGTAGGTGGGTGACTTTCGTCATGTTCGCCACCAGGACGTTCTCGCGGACGGCATCGGGAGCAAGATCGTATGTCGACGGAATCATGTCACGCACGGTGTCCCGAAGATGAGATCGTATCGATGACTTCCGCTTTGATATCTGGGATAGTAGATCAAGCACGACGGTCAAGAGAGACAAATCAAGTGACGCACTGCAATTATGATTCGGGCATTTCCCTCCTGCGGTGCAAACTTCTTTCGTGCCGCCCGGCAGGTGACAATCCAGCACTCCTGCGACCACTCCTTGACCAGCTCATCAGAGGGGAAGGCGTCGACAGTGTACAGCTTGACAGTAAGCTTCTGAACAGCACGATTGATCAGCTCCTCGATAGTCTTGCTGTAATCACTGGCCTTTGGCATGACATTGGAAGGCGGCGGCGCAATCTTATCATCCCTGTAGAGGATCGGTTGGGGTTCGGGTGATGGTGAACGAGATCGTCGACGTTTGCGAGCAGGAGATTTGCTACGAGGAAGTTGAGTCGACCGGGACAAGTGTTGATGGGGCTGCGAGTGCTGCGCATGGAGTCGGTCGCGGGAACGGGAGCGTCGGTCATGTTGGTCATGTAAAGGGTCAAGGTCTGACCATACCCCGCTATCGTCCCAGATACGAGAGCGTGAGCTGGAAGGTCGTTGAACTCCAAAGAAAGTAGTAAGGTTGAAGCTGAA